TCTTATTTCTAAGCATAAGGAAAACATGTGTGATCAACTAAGACAGAATACTTTCTTTATCCAAAATGTTTACTTTAAGATTTTCTATACAAAGTTTAAAAAGGACTATGTATTAAAACTGAAGAATGATAAAGAATTAAATGATAGGCATATTTTTATGCCTTATTTATTAAAAGTGGAAAACTTAAAACCATTTCATCCTAAATCTATTTTTTAAACCTATAGGATTATTAATTGCATGGTTCTATGGAATTAAATTAATTTTAATGCGTTTCCAATATTGGTGCTACCTATGATTTTATGAATGATACACTTTATGTATTTCTTATAGCAATGAAATTCTCTCAATCAAATGAATGGTATGTTTGTTGCGGGAAGTGGAAAAGGGACTTTCTTTCTAGATATGTGTAGGAACACTTAATTGCTAGCTTCATGGTACAGAGCAACGATTTTCCCGTGGAAGAAAAATATCACATACAGCTTAATACATTTGAAATTTAACAAGTTAAATTGAAAAACATCTTGGTTCCCTAAAATCAATGTTTCTTGGTAGAGTGATGTTGATTTATTAGTCCTTAGCTTAGTTGCCAGTATTTCTCAGTATCTTCCTTATACTACTCTCGTTCCATTTGTGGATATTTTTCAATTGAAATGTGGGGGAAAGAGAGAATCATTCTTCTGTTGGCAAGATAACCTCTGAAATAAGTTAATAAAAACTAATTTAACCATGTTTTCAGAAAACCTACCAAAAATTAAACAAGTATCTATGAAAACAGACGTAGAAGTTTAATTTTTGTTTCATGTCAAATTGCATCTAAAATATCTTCAGTGGGGCCGGCCTGGTGGCGCACTGGATGGTGCGCCGCTTGGGAAGCGCGGCAGCGCTCCCGCCNACCTTATTTCCATTTTTGTATATCACTCTTGATAGTCACTAAAGTGTATTTTCCAGTTACAACAACAACATGATTTTTCATAAATATTTCACAGACATTTTTACTACACTTATGCTCATAAAATTATAAAAATTACAAATCATGGGCTATCATAGGCTAAAAATTGAAAGCATTTAATTTGTTTATGGAAACAAAAATTACTCAAAATGAAGTTAAGGAGTTAGATCTGAACTAAAGTACCAGTCAAAAAATAAAAGCTGTTTCAATCTTATTTCTAAGCATAAGGAAAACATGTGTGATCAACTAAGACAGAATACTTTCTTTATC